TCTGGAAGCTGCTGGCACTGCTGAGTGAGCGCTGGATTGCTGACCCCAAGCCTTGTGGGGGAAGACGGGGCTTTCTGCTCCCGTAAAGAGTCACAGCCCGGGGCACCCTATTTAGAGTCGCCCTGAGTGGGAATTGACCGGATGGCACTTTAACTGTTGAAGTCCTTTCCCCAGGAGGACTAGAGGCACTCAGGGGTCTTTGATGCAAATGAGGTCGTGGCCCAGGATCCAGCCCCTCCCAGGGCTATCGGGTATATTCCTACTCTTGGTGACCGAAGCTCCTAGGGTTTCCCTGGCAGTAAATCTTCACAGGAGCCCATAACCTCATCTTTCTCCCCAAGAGCGGCTGGTGAGTTTGAACCCCTGACCTTGCGGTTTGTGGTCCGATGCGTGCCCCACCGTGCTATCAGGGCTACCATTCGGTGGGATCAACATCGGATTCCTTCTGAGTCATACAAGGAGCAGACTGGACACAGAGAGACACACAGGGTGCAGACAGACGCCGAGGACAGCCAGAGACTGCCAGCAGACACCAGGAGCTATAAGACACTCACTTCAGTAGGAACTGAACTTTTAGGCTTTGGGCCTCCGGGACTCGGAGAACATCAATGCCTATTCTTTAAAGCGATCCGCGGGTGCTAGGCTATCTCTGTTGTGGCAGCCTAGGGACAGAGGCAAGGCGCTTTTTCTCCTCGCCCGAGTAGGATTCTAGCCAAGCAGCTCTTTCTCTTCTGTCATGTGCCAAGCTCCTCCCTAACTTGGCGCCTCCGAGCCTGCTGTTCCCTCTGTCTGGGTACTGTTCCCCCTGACCTCCACCCGGCTGGCTCCTTAGTGTCTCGGTCCGGAGGGAAGACCTGCTCTTCAGGGGGCATGGCAGGCTCCAGCCTCGGTCTGTGAGCAGGTGAATGAGTGCTCACTAGGGCCCTGAGGCTGGCCAGCTCTGGGGTGTCTCCGGGAGCACCCAGCCCAGGGTCTGTGTTGGAAGCAGCGCCCCTGAGCGTGGTGTGATGGGGATCTACAGCAGGGAGTAGGGGGGCAGAGAACATCGTGCCCTCCACAGGGTACAGCCTGGCCTGGTGGAGATGCCCCACAGGCAGAGCATGGCTGGGGCTGATGGCTCGCAGCTAGTGCTGTGTGGCAACTTAGTGGGCTCTGGGCGGCCTGGGTGACCTGTTGCCATCTCCCACTGCCTCCAAGCTAGAGGTCTACTGTCCCCGGAAGCCCAGGGACCTGGCCCGTGGCAGGGGGATGGTGAGCAGGAGTGAACAACTGGCTGGACTAGTGCCCGGGAGGTTGGAGAGAGGCAGACTAGCTGGCCCAGAAAAAGATAGGGCCAGGCTGGTACCATCTAGTCAAGGCTGCCATCACCCTGGGTGGGGCTGAGGGGTCCAGAAACCCCAGGATCTTGAGTGCAGCAGGCCTTTGAGGTCCAGGGAAGGAGAAGGCAGCTTCCTTCATCCTCACCTGTGCACCCATGACCCATCACCAACGCTTACCTCTCACTTGCACACCCACTGAACCCCACGGCCCCTTCCATAGCCAGACCTCATCTGAACCCCACAACACCCCATCACCAGGATATCACTCTCACCCCTCACCTACACCCCACCATGCCCCGCTCCCCAGTCCTTAACTAGGCCTTCATTCTTCCCCGTACTGGCCCCCAGCACCAATGCCTTCATCTCTCCTGCACGCCCAGGTAGCTTAACTAGCGGGTCCATAGTTTGGGGGAAAGGAGCAACCCCTCCCCTGCTAAAGGGAAGAGGGCAGGGCAGCCTGGGGCCTCCGGCTGTGGGTGTGCTCTGGGCCCGTGCCAGGGTCCCCTTCCACAGGAGGAATATTAGCTATGGAAGTGCTTCCCACCTGGGCCCTCCAGCCACCTCCTTTGATCACCCTATCTAGACAGAAGGACATGCAAGATTCTGGAAAGTGAACAAACATGGCCAACCAAGCCAGCTCCAGGGAGTGTGCTTTGTCTTTGTCTTCGAATCCCCCTGGTAAGGGAGCCCTCCTTCTCGTGGATTCTTCTCGTGTGTGGGCATGAGACGAAGCCCGGTGGCACAGGGCTGCTGTGGGCTGGGCGGGCAGTGGGAGCAGGTGGGAAGAGTGAAGGGGTGGGGTGGAGGGCCAACGGAAAGGAAAGCTGATCCGCTGGACACAGCTGAGGGCCGGGAAGAGGTCAGCTTTCCAAACCTGGAGCTCCATCCCTGAACCTCAAGTCACTGCCTGGACAATCTGCGTATGTCCGCAGTCACCCACGTGTGGGCTACCTGACGGCCCCCAAGCCCCGGCCACAGATGCAGAGACCAGCTGGGGCCTCCATGGGAGCTGAGAACAGCTGACCATAAAGGGAAGGTCATCCAGTCCAAAATTGGGTGTTGTCCTCTCACCTCTGTCTAGCGCTGTGGCTCTCTCTTCAGAATCCCCCAGAGGCCCGGCTAGCTCGGACATCTTCAGCCTGTTTGGCTGGACTGTCCTGGCCTGAGGGTACGCATGGCCAGAGATGACACCCTTCGACTTCCAGGGCTCACCACTCGGGCCTCTGCTGCACACTGCCTCTTCTCTGGCGACTCCGGCAGCCTGGCTGGCTTTGGCTCCTTGGACTTGTCTCCCATGACACAGCCCATGTGGGAACAGATGGACATGCCTGGCGGTTCCCTAATCTGTCACCTGGCCTCAGAGGACCCATGGAGAGTCTGGCACTGGTGGATCAGGGTGGGGTGGTAGCTGGTGGGTCCAATCATCTCAGCCCTTGGCTCATTGAGCAGGAAAAGTCCTGGGCCGGCATAGCTGACAGGCACCGGGGGGCCGGGGGCCAGTGCTGCTTGCCAATCATCCCAGTGCACCACATCTGCACTGTGTGGGGGGCTTTCTGGGGTATTGTGATCCTAACGTGTGTGGGCATGTTGAGTTACCTGTGTGGCTTCTCCATCCTCTGTGGGGACCCTGGTCATGCTGTATGGACTCTTCATCAGGGGTGAGAACCCAGAGTGAGGTGCCAGTCCTTCCTGTCATGCGAGGGCGACCCACCCCGGGTCACGTGGTGTGGCATCCTTGTTTTGTGCGAGGCCTCTGAGTGTAGAGCACCCAGAGAAACACAGGTTGTGATGCTGTGTTCTGTGTTGTGTGAGGTGAGTCCCAGCTCAGGTCATGTCGTGCCTGTCACCTGAGGGGCTCCCGGATGGTGCGGTGCCGTGTCCCCACCACGTGTGCCGTCTCGGGTCATGTGGTGTGGTGCTGTGTTGTGGGTCGTATGGCAGAGTCCCCATTGTGCGTAGGGGCCAGAGGGTATTATGTGTGTGGCGTCTCCTGCCATTGAATGGAGTCTATGTCATGCGTGTGTGAGGGGAGTCCTTGCGGTGTGTTGAGACACCAAGGTGAGTGACATCCTGTCATGTGAGAAGCTGCAAGTTGTGTTGCGCAGGGTGCCTGTGGTGTACGGGTCGGGAACACCCAAACTGTTGCCATCGGTCCATGCTCTCTCACTTGACCCCCCCCTCTGGGTTTCTGAGATGGTAGCTGTAACCACTGCACCAGCTGGGCTCCCAGCCTGGGTCGCAGGGCATGTTCCCAGGGGCCCCAGACCCTGTGGCCTGACATCCTAGTCATGACTTGCAACCCCCAGGTCTTGTAGTGTGGCATTCCCGTGACATGAGGGGGACTCCAGGTCATGCTGTGTGGTGTCCCCCAGGGGCGCTGGCATGCGAGGGACTTCGGGCTGCGTTGTGTGGAGGCCTGAGCTCATAGACTGTGGAGTCCCTGTGCTGTGTGGGGAAGCTGTGCCATGACCTGTGTTGAGACCTCAAGCTGTGTTGGGTGGCACCTTATTTTGTGTGGGGAACCCAAGCTCGGTACATGGAATCCCAGCGATGGGCAGGGACACACTGCTGTGTCGTGTCTGTCTTGTGTGAGGGAACTCCCTGATCATGTTGTGGGTGGCATCCCAGTCACACAAGGGAACCCCAGGTTGGGTTGTAAGGTACCCCTGCCAGGATCTTGGGTCCGGTCGTAAGCTAACTCCTGCATCCCATACAGCGAGTCCCGTGGTGTGCGGGCACCCCAGGGTGTGCGGAGACCACTGGGTCACGTTGAGTGGCAGGTCTTTCATGTGAGACTCAATCATGTCGTGTGGCACCCCCTGTTTTATATGCAGACCTTGGGTGGGGCGCATGGAATCCCATGCTGTGTGAGGATAGCTAGGTGTGTTTATGTCTGGCGGCCTTGTCTGGCGTCCCATGCGAGGTGTGTGGGGTCCCCAGCGTGGGTTAAGACCCTGGGTCAGGTGCATGTGTCGGGGCTGTGGATGAAGTGACTGGCGTCCACTGCTTGCGAGGGGCTTAGGTGCGTGCCCCGGAGGACACGCGGGCTGGAAAGGGTCGTCCCTTGGCGAATTTGCCGCTGTGCCAGGAGCCGCGTGTGGCAGCCCCGGGGGCGGAGGGGGTACATGAGACTGCCCACACGCGCAGGAAGCGAACCCGACCGGGAGAGGGTCCCTGCGCTGCGTCCCCGCCGGCCCCCCAGCAGCCTGCGGACCGGAGGGTCAAACCAGGCCGAACAGAGTCGAGGTGGAGGCCGAGCGGAGCCGAGCGGGGCCGGGCGGGACCGAAGGAGCCGAGTGGGCCGAGCGGGGCCGGAAATAACCGAGCGGGACCGAGGAGAGCCGAAAGTGGCCGAGCAGGACCGAGGAGAGACGAGCGGGGCTGGGCGGGGCCTAGTCCCGGG